GAGTTTTGAAAAAAAAAATATTTTGGAAAAATGGGGTTCAAACAAGGGTTCGTTCTATTAAATGCTTCTCATTGAAAAGTTTATCAAATTATCAAAATATATATATATATTTTGGGAAAAGATTATCATCCATGATTTCATTCCTTCAATACATATAAGTTAACAATACATTACTTAAAAGTTTATTAGGTCAAATTTAATGTAACAAATGTCTATATATTTATATATATTAAAAATGATCAAATGTCTAGATTGGGCACAGTTGCCACGTGGCAACACCGAATATTACCATGCCTGGTGGGACGAACGGGAAGCGCGCTCTAGCAAAACCCAATGTGCATGGACGACAGTGACATTGGTGAATGTAGGAGGAAGTGGCAATCTGACTCGTGCTAACTAGACTACCTTGGGAGAAAATTCTGAATGTGATGTTTTAAATGTCATTGATGGTCTTAAATCTATTAAATAATTTTCGTGCTGGATTAAAATCAAACTTTTAGTAAATTTTGATAGATGTTGATGAAATATGTGATTGAAAAGTTGTAAGTCATATTAAATGTGCAGTTAAAATTAATTGTTGACTTTGACTTTGACTAAAATCTTGATTTTAATTTTTACCAAATAAGGACTAGTATTACAATATCAGTTTAGTCGACATTACGTTGTATTAAATGAGAACCTGTTAAATAAGTAGTATAATTTTAACTTTAATTGTGTCTGTAACATAGTGTCGCTTATATAGTGTTGTAAAATAAGTGGTACTAGATATCAAATTCAAATATTAATCAACATATTTGGGTTTGGATCTTTCATTTTAAAATGATCAGCCTTTTAAAAAGGAATTTCAAATCTTAATTTAAATCTTGTGAGGTGAGTTGTGGAAATTGTCGCCATACCTACACACTAGAATGGAGTGGCCCAAGCTCTCTTTTTTTCTACTTGGCTACTTAGTGGTCGAACTTTTTTTTAAACCACATATTACAATGGTCCTACAAGCACTACGTATGCATCCACCACTCCTTTTACAGTCACTTCTTTTAAAGCATCAAATATTTTAGTCCTTCATAAAATTTCACCCTAGCATAATCACCAGGGTAAACAAACCCTTGCTTTTCCCTTGTGATGGTTTACAGAACTTCAAACATATTCAAAAGATTTTCCAAGTTTTGTTTTGCTTAGTTATACTCGTGTTCTACATATATGTCTAGGCCAAAGTAGTGATGCTCAACGAGGCTAAATCTGAAGCTCTATCACGACAAATGACGACCCACCTTTGAAGATCCTGAATTCATGAAATTTTGTTTGAATGATTTGATGTGACTCATGTAATGAGTATTATGTCGACGTCTTATCAACATAGATTGTAGGGTAACTGTCCCTTTTTAAGAATATTTAATGCGCCACACACTAGTTGGGTTAAAATTGATACTTAGGATAACATGCTTCGATTAAAGAGACGATGTCACGTGTCCCCTCATCCAATGGACATCATTTCACATGTAACACTATAAATATTTCCTCCCTTGTGTCATTTGGGGTAATGCAAATACATTTACTATAAGTTATATATTCTCTCCTTTTGAGTTAATTATTTTGTTGATAAAGATAGATGTTCGATCTCGACTTTTAGTTTGGTTTTTCATTGATTGTTCCTTATCGTGTGATTCCACTCATATTTCTTGCCGACACCCACTCATATTTCTTGCCGACACCCGAACATATTTGTTTCATGTTATAAAGCTTTTTCCACATTCAAATTCGAAAAACCGTCGACTAGTAAATTGTCCAAACGTTATGGAATTAGCTTACGTGGACACGAATTGGCTCGATATCAGTTATCCACGTCCACGGTACAAAAAAGGAGATCAACACAATCAACTCTACTTCACTGCTTAAGGAGTGCACATTTTCTTTATCAAGTGATTTTTTCTTGTTTTGAATTTTGATCAAACAAATGCCTAATCATGCTAAAACTTAAAAGTGAAATAAATACATCCAAATTTAGGCTACGAACATTATTTTCCCTGTCACAAACAAAAAATTATTATTTGAAGATTTTATGATTTTGAGGATTACATTTTTATTGAAAATTTGAAAAATGTGTGAAATTCCTAAAAATATAAAAGGCATGCATTATTTTATTTAATTATCTATCTAAACTAATTAAAATAATATTAAGACTT